TCGCACCAGTGCACCTGTTCTCGCATGATCGCATCCGCTCACTTTCCACAAGCGAGTCTTTTGTTCTCCTTGCACGCATGAAAATGTTCCGTGCTGTGTGATACGAAATAAATTGCGCCCTGAACGTGAACACCAGAGAATCAGTTATGGCAATCAGCAGCAGAAGAAACATACGACGAAGAAACTTTTAAAAATGTAGGCTACTTTTTATGGCTAGGTAAAAATATTCTCATATTCAAAAACTAATTCTCATTTTACGAACCCGTTGGGCTATGCTTTTTTCAGTTGATGAATGAATGGAAGATTGTAGCGTGCAATGCGCATCCCATCCAATACATCACAATAATCTTTGTGCTTTGTTACTATTGATATGAAACAAAGTCTGAGATTTCAAATTAGGTCCATTTTCTTACAAAATTCAAAAACATAAATAGTGTATTGACCCTGTGGCGTGAGATCGCTCTGGCTCAGCTCAAGTGAAGCAGCAGCGCGGAGAGCACATAATAATCTCTTCCGCCTTAATAATTACAGTTACAGCGCGAAATAAACATGAACGAGCATCTGAAAGTGTGTTAAAAGATAGAGTACAACTTATCGAAATCTGTATTTTTCACATGGAATAGCTCAATCAGTGTTTCAACCGTGGAAAGATGTCAGTAAAAGGCATGTAAACAATGTAATGTAACGGCACATTTACCTCAGAAAAAACATATCCAGTGACCATAAACTCATTAGCTAGCTAGAAAAATTAACTCTAGAGGTGCATTTTGCCAAATATATGCAACATATTACAAATTCAATATAATTTTTAATGTTTTTCAATATTTAATGCATATTATTTGAAAAAATCTGACAAGTTTTTATGCAGCCACCATTTAAATGTTTATATTTCATATAACATTATTATTGTAAAAATAAGTAAAAGTGTAATTTAAGTGTTTGTGTACAAATCAGGTCATTTTTACCTTCAATATTATAGAAGGGTAATGAAACAGTGGGCTACAACTGACTCCCAGTTTACAGCATTAGTTGAGATTTGTTTTCCTTGAGAATTGTGAAATTTTGTGTCAATACCCTGCCCTAACTTGAACAATGTAAAAACAGCACTTTAATTTTTTTTAAGATTTATATTTTTATATACAGTATAATTGTGCTTAAAGCATTAGTTGAGATTTGTTTTCCTTGAGAATTGTGAAATTTTGTGTCAATACCCTGCCCTAACTTGAACAATGTAAAAACAGCACTTTAATTTTTTTTTAAGATTTATATTTTTATATACAGTATAATTGTGCTTAAAAAAAATAACAAAAAAACTACATCTTTTTTTTGTTTGTTTAAAAGCATTTACATATTATATATGAATATATGGTGCGTGATAAAAAGGTGACCTTGAAATTGTGGCGTTAAATCCGACGTGAGACGAGGAAAAATTTGAGTGCACCTAAATTTTGTGCTGGTGCACCTAAACAAAAAAGTTAGGCGCACCAGTGCAACCAAGGCAAAAAGTTAGTCTGGAGCCCTGCCAATAGTGCAACACACGGACTCTGGGTCGAACATGTATGGGCGAATCATTCCGGTTGCCATTTTACAACATTGGACGTTTTCAAAACAATTTCCCCCAAGTGCATCGACGAGTGAGTTGAAACTCATTATAATATGCAAAACTATTATCCACTCACAGCAGTGGGCATTTTACCTCTAAGTCTTCAGTGTGAGACGCCCATAAAAACCGAGCGTTTTTCAGCTAGGCTCAAAACTAGGGTACAAAATAGCCTATTACTTATTAATTTTGATGTTTTTGAATGCAAAAACCAAGCGAATGTCATAAGTTGACGACAAACAACAATATAATACAATTTAAAAAGCCAGTTCATGACCCCTTTAAATACAGACTGATGTGGATCGATAACATTATCACAACACAGAGGTGAAACAAAATGCTGAGTAATATCTTTTACAGAATTTATAAAATAACTATTGAGATTGGTGGCTATGGAAAGTGGATCTTTGATAATCGAGTCATTGATTTGAAGCTCCATTTCTTTATTGTTTTTGTTTAACTGTCGGCCTAGCAATATATTTAGGTTTTGCCATTCTAATTTTCCATTACCGTTTGCATTAAGTTAGAGGCCAGAATAATTGTTGGTGGTTGAAATAATAGTGACCTAGGGTTCACATTCCGGCAATCTTTCGATTGGTCCCGGGCATTGTGTATGTCCCCGGATAAGAGTAGACAGATGGCGATTATAAGAGTACGGCTTTGAGGAATTTCGTAGAGTACGTATACAGCTTTTCCTGCTTTTAATTGAGCAGTGGAAGAGAGATGGAAAAACAAAAGCCGTAGCAACGACATGTCTTCCGAATCCAAAATGTTTATTGTTCGGGGTTTTATGTGAAACTTGTAAAATTACTCCCGAACATTTTTTTCAAGCACTATAGTACTTGCATTGTGATGAAAAACGGGCAGTGTCATTGGGCCTATATCTTAAATTGACCACATAAAAAACATAAACAAGGAGCGCTATGACAACTACTGTCTTACCAGCTGGCGCCATCTTATTTTGAGCTAATAGTTAATCTCGAGGCTACAACTTTACATTAATTGGCCACAACATAAGGATGTCAAAAAAATTTATCTTGTGGCCAAAAAAAAAAAAAAAAGAAAATCAAGATTTGTTTGTGGAGGTAATTAAAGGTGATCTGCAGTGACATCACAATCATGTTGCATTGTGGTATATGAAGCTGCCTGAAGTGTACATATGAAGTAGACTCGCTCCCTCTGTAAAAATCGAGGGGTCGAGGGTCTGTCCATATAAACTTCACTTGTTCACTTCACGAAGTGGAACACACTTCAAAATGGCGACAAGGATTCCCCAAGGTGAGGTGCTTAGGGAAGAGTGTGTGTCTAAAAGCGAAGTGGAACGCATCCAAAGAATCAGTTGTATGCAAAGTGTACCCAATTTTGATCAATGAAAATGTGTACAATTTACTCACTGAGATCGCCATATTTCTGAAATTGAACCATTCAGGGCCTTAATGAAAGATTCCAAATTAAACATTTATTAAAAACCAACATCTAAAAGGATATTAAGATATTTTAGAATCTAATATATAAATATATAAGATATATAATACTCATTGGGTTATAGACATGCACTTTATGTTGTAAAATAATTAAATTAAGGTTATTATATATTATACGTTATGTTATTTTCCTAGTCCTGTAATTTCTGGCAGGATAATAATAAGTGAAAAGTATAATTTTGACCCCCCTCTACAAAATTGTGGATTAATTAACAAATATTAATTTATGGTATTTTATATTTTGGCTTTCATCACTATATTTCAGAAGACCCCACCAGGTACCACTCATCTCCACTACAAATAGGAAAAAGAGGCTACAATTTGCAAGAGCTCACCAAAATTGGACAGTTGAAGATTGGAAAAAATGTTGCCTGGTCTGGTGAGTCTCGATTTCTGTGGATGGATCCATGGGTCCATGGATCCATCATGCCTTGTTACCACTGTGCAGGCTGGTGGTGATGGTGTAATGGTGTGGGGTATGGCACCATTTAAATGCCACAGCCTGCATTGTTTCTGACCATGTCCATCCCTTTATGGCCACCATGCACCCATCCTCTGATGGCTACTTCCAGCAGGATAATGCACCATGTCACAAAGCTCAAATCATTTCAAATTTCTTGAACATGACAATGAGTTCATTGTACTAAAATGGCCCCCACAGTCAACAGATCTCGACCCAATAGAGCATATTTGGGATGTGGTGGAACGGGAGCTTTGTGCCCTGGATGTGCAATGCATCCCACAAATTTCCATCAACTGAAAGATGCTATCCTATCAATATGGGCCAACATTTCTAAAGAATGTTTTCAGCACCTTGTTGAATCAATGCCACATAAAATTAAGGCAGTTCTGAAGGCGAAAGGGGTCAAACACAGTATTAGTAAGGTGTTCCTAATAATCCTTTAGGTGAGTGTATATAGATATATAAAATATATAAACACAGTTGCTTTAAAGTCGACATGACAAAAGAAACAGCAATAGCCTTTTCTTGTCTATTGTGTATATTAGGGTGAAAAGGCTTTTTGAACAAGAAAAGATTGTTGGGATTTGATTTTGTCCATTAGGAATTGATTGGATTGTTGTCATTTGCTGTTGCTGATCTCATGTGGGTGGCAGATTGAGAAGAAATGAGTATCCGCAATCATATACCTCCCTACTAGTAGGCGAAAAACAGTATGTGACAAAAAGTATGTCCGAATTCACAGTAATCATAAAAGAGTAGGCAAAAAGTACCCGGTTGACCTACTACGTCCGACGAGAGTTTGAAGTGTGCATACAATTGAGGCCACGGGAGAGGTTTAATGAATGGCAGTAAAGGCTGGAATACACTCGACTTTTGCTCAGGTTTTTCCCCCGATTTGAGATCTGGGTGAGTTGGCAGTAGTTGCCAAAGTCCTGCGCCAGCCTGCAGATTTTGTGCGTTCGGAGTTGACAGAATTCAGAGAATATCACGTAGTGTATGATGGGCACAGACTCCAATTTTTTAGTCCATCCAGTCAGAGGACATCAAAACATGTTCGATATTTCGAGCTGATTTTAGAACACATGTGTGTGATGCATCGCTAATAAAAACTGTACATAATAGGCTGACCAGACAATGGAAATCAAGGGTGCAAAGTCATAAAGAGAAAAAATAGAGACGACATGATCATGACATGGCAAAGGCAGTACGCCCAGATTACAGTATGGTCATTCTTCACACACTCCCACTATATAGAATGTACTTTGTAAGTGGTCATGAATTACTTTTTCAAAATAAGTACCAACAATAAGTACCAACTCAAGAGAGAATGAGATTTCAGTCGCAGCCGAGATGTCGCTGCCAAAGGGAAGGGAAGTTTATCATGCAAACATTTAAATGATAAATACTACAACCCTGTGTTGATGGATTACAAACAGATAATACTAATACTCACCCCCTGCTAAAAAGATCTTTGATGCGGTCCCATCCTGTGTCAGGGAACTCTGGCTTGCCTATGTGTTGTGGTATGGTCTGTGCAGAGGTACTATCAGACGCATACACACAAGGAAGAGTGATCCCAAAAAGAGTCTTGAGAGGACCCAGATGTGAGCTCCCAGGTCCATTTACATCTGTCCCCCCACATACATCCTGCCGCCTTGCAGGACACATCAACAAGCTGTCAAAGAATGAGAGAAACAAGGCCAGAGGTATATGAGATTATGTTTATGCACTTTCATCCATACTGATATGCATGTCCTATGGTTATGACAGAGAATCATGCAGACAGGCTTAATTTTAACACCTGAAGCAACACTGTCTATCACAGAGGAATAAAGGGTCTGTTAATATGGAGCTAGAATTGTGTCTTTATTACATGCGAGAAAATAAATGATCTGAGAGGAAAAAAAATGTATTTGAGAGAAAATGCTCATACCAATACTCATTATTAATACCAAAGAGCAAAAAATAATAATATTTGAGACTATAAAAGTTGAGAGAAAGTATTTTATCATAGAACATATGAACAAATATAAATTAGAAATTATTAAAATTATGTTGCCAGGAAGTACAGAATCAAAATCGTCCGACATCGTTGTTTTACCTTTTAATTCCTTTTTTGTAAACGGCGTATGAGTTAGTTTTCACGTTCAACCTATGTGTTTTCACGTTCAACCTATGCGTTTAACTTGTAAACACCTCGGTTGTTCTCTGACTCTGTACTTCTGGCTACGTCGCCCGTGACCTTTTGATCGTAATTACGTATTACGTGACGTTGCAAACGCACCTCACAGAACGGAGCAAGGCTAGCATTTGTCCTTAGAAAAGTTACATTTTTGGAATAAGTTTTGAAATAACCGATCGTTTCGCATGATAAGACCCTTATTCATCATCTGGTGTCGTTTAAAGACATTTGAAGCTGCATCTGAAACTGTTATTAACTGTCGTTTGGACCTCGGTTGGACCTGGTTCCCATGGATGTCCATTATAAGGAGAAAAATCCTAGAATGTTTTCATCAAAAACCTTAATTTCTTTTCGACTGAGGAAAGAAAGACATGGACATCTTGGATGACATGGGGGTGAGAAAATTATCAGCAAAAGTTTTTTCAAAAGTGAACTAATCCTTTAAAGAGTAACTAAACACTAAACCAACTTTTTTTAGTTAATGATCTGTAAGAATGGATCTTTATTAATACCAGTCATTGATTCGAGTAACTTTTTTGACATTTGTTTATAAAGTGTTCTATTTCTACAATATATGGTGTAAAAACGTCTTAGTGCTGCCCTCTTCAGGTTGAACGGTGGCTACTGCAGTTGAATTTTCCTATTGGATGTTCCGCACTTCGTGACATACGCAGGTTTCAGCTCACCACGTGAGCTACGCCTTTGGCAGTATAAAAACCAGCTTGTGCCGTCAAAACCACTGAAGGGAGTGAGGAGTTGGAATTGTGAGTATTGAAAACGACCAGGATAGAGTGTTTTAGCATCTATTTCGTCCCCTCTATCTCTGCTGGGGTCTGCCCACTTTTTCAGCATTTTCAAATATTGCCAGTGGGTGGAGTCAGGCTCTGACCAGGGGTTTAGTTACCCTTTAAGTTCCGTATCAACTACAAAATACTACTACTGACTAGGGGTGGGCGATATGACCAAAATTGTGTTTCACGATATGACTAATTTTATTTCACGGTAACGATATATTTCACGATATAGTTATTTATATAGTTATCCTCAAAAAAAAAAAAAAATAAATAAAAATCGACAAAAAGGGCTTTGTAAATACACCCAAATACTTTAGAAATGAAAAGTATGTCACCTTGTTTTATTTTTATTTTATTTGGTAAATTATTTATTTGGTAAACTATTTTTATATCAAAATATATTTAACAAAAAACACTCAAACTTTTAGATGAACTTCCCACAACAGATTGATATTAAATACAACTCATAGGTGCATTTCAACTTTAAATAATTTTTCAATCTCATGCATTGCTTTACTTCATCAATCAGTTTATTATATAATTATAATAGATATAATATAATTATAATATTTTTTTACCACATGTGCTTATTATACTGCGTTTTTAACGGAGAAGGGTATTCCTGCACAACCGGACTCTGCACACACTGTTGTTTTAACGGGCTTGTTTTTGTTATATTCTTTTTGTTATATCTGGCAACCCGTCAGTTCAGAAGTGACAAGAAGGAGAGCAGCAATATGAAAACCAAACCGCAGCTACTGTTAGTGTTGACTAAGTAGTTTAAATTATACACAACTTATAGTGCGTCGAACACCGCGCGCTCCCTCTCAGTGGTTGTGCATGCGCGCGTCTTTTACATCAACAAAATGCGGTCGATTAATTTGAGAGTGAAGTTGTAATCACGGATCGAATCAAAGGAAGATTTTATCAACTGGTCCAGTAGGCAATTGTTTGGAGTTAAAAATATATATATAACTCGCGCTGCATATTTAGTAATTTTGCTTTTAGAAACAAGATTATACATTCGTTTTAACAAGCAGGATGTTCATTCATGCTGAAAGCGATTTTCATGTTTAAAAAGTAACTATACATAAGAGAAGGAAAGATGCGGATAACCAGTGATGTAGTGGTGCCTGGAGAAGTGGGTATACTCTTAATTTATGCCCCCAATAATTTTTTAAGCGTCCCAGCAAAGGATGAACGCTCTGTGTTATAAACAGTGACATAAGACTACTACATGTAGTCTTGCATTAGTATTCAATATGCAAGACTATAGAATAAAGTATAATAAATACAATAGAACACATAGAATCAGTAGTATTCTTGCATATCAGGGCCACACAAAGTTTTCTAAATACCCAGGTGCCAGGTCCTATAAATTATATCGTTAGGGGGGTTCGGGGGCATGCAACCCCCCCCCCCCCCCCCCCTCGAGAAAATTTTGATTTTCCTGATCTCGAAATGAGCATTTTAAGGTGTTTTGATGGCCAAAAAAATTGACAACAGTAGCTTTAAAAGCATGAACTAGGCTAGCCTATTTGATAAGATTCTTAAACATGAGAATCGGTTCCAGTTTCAGCGACTTTTCTTTACTAAATTAATCAATGTTTTTTTGACTAATCTGTTAATTTAATTGATGGTTCAATTGCTCACTCAAAAAGACAGTCACTTGTCGCCACCCTCTGGCTTAATGATGCAAGTGGCGCAAACACAGACAAGCGGAGTTATACAAACAGTGAAAAGTCAAACACATTCGAAAAAACGTTATACAAATATATTTATACAATAATAATGGCAATATATTTAATAGGGTGCTTGTGTTGTTAAATTGAGCTTATAATTTCCATTGTCTTTAATCAAACTGATTTCTGTCGGTCATTTAAAACGTCTATTGAAAAACAGCTGTAAATTTGAGCTACTTGCATCTTATCTTACACTGTATGATCGTTAACTGAAGTGAAGCGTCGCGTTGGGATTCGCGCTCAGCTCGCGCTTCTATGAACAAAAATACTGCATTCTTTGATTGGTCTCACGAACATTTTGACATTGACGAGCAGGTGTTTGAGTGCTGAAGCAGATCAGATGAGAAGGTCAGTTATCGTCGCGATGGGAGAACCATTGCAGCGACAAATTAGAGTTAATATTACGGGTACGACTCTAACTGGGTGTTTTTTTTATTCACGAGTAGCAACTAAATGATGTGCATCAGAGGGGATTTAGAAGTGGGTATACGCAACGCCGACTGAAAAAGAAGTGGGTATACGCCGTATACCTGCGTATACCCTGCACTACACCACTGCGGATAACTATACATTATTTAAGGTTATTTCTCGTAATGATATTGATATAGCCTATGAAATGTTGTTATCAAGTAACTTCATGCTTTCCCTGTTGCGAACGTGCACTCCTCTAAACTGTAGCCTGGGTGCTGCTGCTCTGCTCAAGTTGGCGGCTGCCTTTCCCCCCCGAACATATCACGTTAACAACAATCCTTTAGAAAATGTAATTCCTTTGTGGATCCTCTTGATCTGCTTTCTCCATGTTTCTTTGACAAATCTCAGCATCAGTGTCAAGCGCGCTGCACGGGAGTTAACCACACCCCCTTATTTGCATTTCGCGGTATACACGGAATAAAAAAATCTGTTACGACTGACGTTTTCTATCGCGGTAACGATATATATCGCCCAGCCCTACTACTGACCTACTGTATAAAGCCCTAAATGGTTTAGCTCCTATGTACTTAACGGACCTTCTTTCGCCCTACAATCCACCGCGTTCCTTAAGATCACTAAATTCAAGGCTTCTGGTCATTCCTAGGATATCTAAGTCCACTAAAGGAGGGAGGGCGTTCTCGCATTTAGCTCCAAAACCCTGGAATAGCCTTCCCGATACGGTCCGAGGCTCTGACTCGCTGACACAGTTTAAAACTAGATTAAAGACGCATCTCTTTAGTCAAGCATTCACATAATGCTTACCTTTTAGTCCTCTGTTATGCCATACGGAACCATTTGCCACTGAAACTGCAACGCACCAGTGGGGCTCAACAGCTTTTTAGACAAACGGGTCGGCGTGTATGGTTGGGTTGCGGAGAGTTTGTGAGATGGGGGTTTTCTAACACCGACTCCCGTATAATGGAAATCATTATGAACATCAGCTATGCTAATTATTTCCCATCTGCCTTTCTGCTGTTATCTCGGGACGCTTGTCCCGAGAAAAATGGCGTTCGTCAGGTCCAGTTTTGTATCCAGCCTCTCACGGGGATTTCGGATGCCCCAACGCCTGTGATGAGAAGACCAACGCCTGTGAAGAGACGACTCAACGCCTGCGATATGTTATGGTGCTGTTTTATACATAAACAATATTTATATTTAATACTTATATATAAACAATATGAATGTAAGCCAGAGGAGAACTGGCCCCCGACTGAGCCTGGGTTCTCCCAAGGTTTTTTCTCCATCCAATCTGATGGAGTTTTGGTTCCTTGCCACTGTCGCCTTGCTTTTGGCTTGCTCAGTTGGGGTTATTTAATATTTAACAATATTATTGATCTGTGTTGTACTACTTTCATGTTATCACTGTGAAGCTGCTTTGATACAATCTGTATTATGAAAAGCGCTATATAAATAAATGTGACTTGACTTATTTACCCATACACTGCACACGTCTGCGGCACCTTCGGCTGTGACACGGCTACCGGAG